ATAAATAAATAAAATCTTAAAAAAATAAATAAATAAATAAAAAATAAAAGTTAAAAAAAAAAGTTTACTTAAAAAATAGGGGTGGTGATATTTTTGACAGTTCTTCCCAATTGTTAGTCTATAAATGAGTGAATGCCCACGGAGAATAACTAATCCACCATGAAATCAGAAAGATAACAATTATGTGTGCACTTTCCATTATGCTGAATTTAATTTAAAGGACCATCCTTTATTCTTTTTTTTTTTTTACCATCCTTTATTCTTGATTGAGTACTTTGTACAGAGGTGTTAGTAGATAGTAGTTATCAATGCACTGTTTATTTACATATTGGGCAAGATTAAAAGCTGGCATCATGATATCAATTCCTCAAATTTAAAATCCTGGAATTTAAAAACAGAATCACTGATCTAGAGCTGGCTTTTGTTCTCATGTTGAATAATCTATTTTCACATGTTATTTCGAAAGGCATTCCTCCTGTGTATCTCATGGTGTCGACTAAGTGACGAATTATAGCTGAAGGCTTTTCCGCATTCATTACATTCATAAGGTTTTTCTCCAGTGTGGTGTCTCTGATGTTTCTTAAAGGATGAATCATGCCGGTAGGCTTTTCCACAGCGGTTGCATTCATATGCTTTCACTCCTGTATGAACAGTTTTATGGTTGCTAAGGTGTATCCTCTGCCTAAAGGCTTTCCCACATTCCTTACATTTGTAGGGTCTCTCCCCAGTATGGATCCTCTGGTGATGCGTTAGGTATGCTCTATGACTAAAGGTTTTACAACACGCAGTGCATGCATAGGGCTTCTCCCCAGTGTGAATTCTTATATGTTCACTAAGGTGTCTAATTTGTCGGAAGGTTTTCCCACATTCATTGCACGTAAAGGGTTTCTCCCCAGAATGAGTTCTCAGATGCTGGATCAAGCTAATGTTCTGGCTGAAAGCTTTCTGACATTTATCGCATACGTAGGGTTTCTCTCCAGTGTGAGTTCTGTGATGCTGATTAAGAGATGAGCGATGTCTGAAGGCTTTGCCACATTCTTCACATTCAAAGGGTTTCTCACCGGTATGGATCCTCTGGTGTGTAGTCAGTGATGCGCTTTGACTAAAGGCCCTTCCACATTCCTTACACCTGAAAGGCTTTTCACCAGTATGAATTCTCATGTGTTCAGTAAGATGAATGGGTTGTTTGAAGTTTTTTTCACATATATTACATTCATAGGTTTTTGTTCTTATGTAACTCGGATGATTAATCAAGTCTAATTTGTATTTGTTCCTCTTTCTAGGTGTTTCACATTTATGGTGCCTCTGCTCTATAATAACATTTGAACTGACAATATTTTCCCCAAATTTGTTAGTTTCTTGGCCACTCTTCTTGTGGGTCAGGATGGCTTGTCTTACATCTCTCCCATGGATTTCCTGGTGCCTTTCTAAGTCACCATCATACTTAGAGACTTTTCTCAGTGTGGAATAAATGACATCATCTCTCAGGAACCCTTCCATCATAATGCCATGATATAACTGTTCCTGTAAGATGTCATTCTTTGCAGTTGATGCATTGGTTTCTGTTTTATTCTTCAAGTCTGAAAGAAATGGAAACATGCAAATAACTCACATCCATTATGCTTTAAAAAATCAATTATTGTAATGAGTAAGACAGAAATTTAGATAACTATAAAGTATGAGATTTTGATTACAGTTGACCCTTGAACAACATGGGGGTTGGGATACCAACCCCAATACAGTAAAAAATCCATGTATAACTTTTGACTCCCCCCAAAACTTAACTACTAATAGCCTACTGTTGCCTAGAAGCCTTACTGATAAGTCAATTAACACATGTTTTATGTTATATGTATCATATACTACAGGCTTACAATAAAGAGAAAATGTTAAATTATAAGGAAGAAAAAATACATTTATAGTGCTGTAAAAAATCCACATATAAGTGGACCCATGCAGTGCAAACCAGTGTTGTTCAAGGGTCAACTGCACAATTAAATATGGTTATGCAACCATGGGGGAGGTAATGGGAAGTTAAGAAACAGATAAATAAGGAAAATGTGTGATTTTATATAGAGAGTAAAATTTGAGTACTTTAGACCTGTTCTTTCTAATACTAAATAATCAAATTTCAGAGCTATGTCTTATGAATATCTTTTTAATTGACAACCACTTTTGGAAAACAATATCAAAAAGATAAAAAGATGTCCCTCTCCCCACACCAGCAGCAGGAGGAAATGCTCATTCAAAAAATAAGGTCTGAACTAAGAACTTCCATAAAAACATTAAGCTTTTATTGAAACTTGTATTAATATTTACATTGTTCTATTTTCTGTGGTTATTAGTCTGTCCCTAGAAAGGAGACTTGTAAGAAACCCAGACTATGTTGCTATTATTATTATTATTTTTTAAAGATTTTATTTATTTATTTGACAGAGAGAGAGTTAGCGAGAGCAGGAACACAAGCAGGGGGAGTGGGAGAGGGAGAAACAGACTCCCCACCAAGCAGGGAGCCCGATGTGGGGCTCGATCCCAGGACCCTGGGATCATGACCTGAGCCGAAGGCAGACGCTTAATGGCTGAGCCACCCAGGCGCCCCACTATGTTGCTATTATTGCTATGTTCCATGAAAGTATCTTTTACCTTTCTTGAGGGGGGAGGGGAGTGACAGAGGAATAGGGAGAGAGAGAATCTTAAGAAGGCTCCACGCCCAGTAGGGTGCGATCTTACAACCCTGAGATCATGACCTAAGCCAAAATCAAGAGTCGAACACTTAACTGACTGAACCACCCAGGTGCCCCTGAAAATATCTTTTATCCTTTAAAATTCTGACTGGCTTTTTTACTTGATAATTTGTTGTACCCATTACCAATATTTCAACTGACAGATCTGTATCCTGAAAGGTATAACTTCTTGTAAGATTTTTTGTTCGGCACAAAAGGATCATTAGTACTAACAAATTCTTTTTTTTTTTTTTTTAAGTACTTACAAATTCTTAATGAGTAAAGGCAATAATAGAGTCTATGCTCTGTAGGCTTCTAATTCTAGTCCTGAATATGGGAGGGGGAAAAGAAGAGGACAGGGAAAGAGAGAAGAAGCCACCATCTATGTCCCCTTCCCCAATTCAGTATCCAGGCCTGAAGAAGAACCAAACTATTGAAAAAAAGATTTAACTTTGAATGAAGTTGGGAGTTTTTGTTATTGCCCTAAACTAAACATTTTACTAAAATCAGATTGTTCTTATTATTTAAAGGGACTGGACCATCTAGATGAAAATCATGGTAGCTTTTATTATTTTCATTATTTTAAGTTGAAAAAGAGAAAACCCAAGAGAATATATAAACATATTGTTGGAATTAATAATGGAGTGAAACAAGGTGGCTAGCTATAAGATCAATATATAAAATCAAATGTGCTATTACACACCAACAACAAACAGAAAACATAATTTAAAAATATATACTATTGGGGCGTCTGGGTGGCTCAGTCGGTTAAGCATCTGCCTTCGGCTCAGGTCATGATCCCAGGGTTCTGGGATCAAAACCCACATCGGGCTCCCTGCTCAGCGGAGAGCCTGCTTCTACCTCTCCCTCTGCCTGCCACTCTGCCTACTTGTGCTCTCTCTATCTGTCAAATAAATAAAATCTTTAAAAAATACACACACACACACAATCTACAATAGCAAAATATAAGGTCTTCAAGATGAACCTAAAAGGGGATGTAATATGAAGAAGACCTTATAGGGAAAATTCTGAAACTTTATTTTTAAAAAAGTTAGGAAATACCAATAAATGGAGCAATTTACCATGTTTCTGGAATAATAAAACTCAGTATCATAATATTAATTCCCCCCAAAGTTGATCTATAAATCCAATTCTATTCCAATCAAAATACCACCGGAGTATTTGCACACACGCACATGTGTGTATGTGTGTGGGTGTGAAATTTGATGCACTCATTTGTATGGAAAAAGCAGGAGGCTAAGAATAACCAGGACAATTTTGAAGAACACAGTGGGAGAACTACCTCTACCGGATATGCACCTCACTATGAAACACAGTAATTAACTTGCCATTAGAGTAGGGCTAGAAATTCCAGGTGAATTAACTCTAAATATGAAAAGCCAAATCTTAAAAATATAAGAATATATATTACATCAATTTTTCTATAAATCAAGAAAAAAGATAATAATAGAGCAATTGGCAAAGGATATAAACAATTTATGTAAGAGAACTCTGGATGGTCAATAAACATGAAAAGTATGCTCCTCTTGCTAGTAATCAGGAAAATGAAAGAAACAACAAGATACCAAATTCACCCACAAATTTACAAAAATTTTATTTTTTTATTTTCAATTTATTTATTTTTAAAGATTTTATTTATTTATTTGAGGGGTAGGGACAGAGGGAGAGAAAGAATCTGGAGCAGACTCCACACTGAGCGTGGAGCCTGAGATGGGGCTTGATCCCACACCCTGAGATCCTGACCTGAGCTGAAATAAAGAGTCGGGATTCTCAACTGACTGAGCCACCCAGGCACCCCTACGATAATTTTAAAGTTTGACAAGGCCAAGTGTTGACAAAGATGCTGAGCTCTGGGAACTCTTATGGCTTGCTGATGGGAGGACAAACTGGTGCAACTGCTTTGTCGAGCAAGTTGGTAATCTCCAGCAAAATGAAGGTGCATATACACCATGACCAACAATTTTGCTTCCACCAAACATCTCGAAATACTTGCATATGTACATAGGAAGACACTGCATCTTGGTAACCCCCAACCTTAGAAACAATATAAATGTATATTAATAGGAAAATGGATAAATTGTGGTTTATTAGTTCAGTGGAAATAAAAGAACTAGAACAACATAGATTTCAACCATGTTGAATGAGAAAAGCAAGTAGAAGTATATACACCATTTATTTAAAGAATAAGAACATGCAAAACAATACTATATATTGTTTCGGGATATATACATGTAATGAAAGTATGAAGACATGTGAAAATGACAATATTTAAACTCTGAAAAGCGGGTTATTTCAAAAAGTAGGAGCGTAACAGCAGGGCTTCAACTCTTTTTTTTCTTAATCTAGTTGGAAGCTACATAGAAGTTTGTTTTAATGTTCTCTATGCCTTACTGAGCACCTAAAATATTCCATAATAAAGCAAAATTTAAGGAGATGATTAAAGACCACTGAATTTGTGGTAATTTCTCTTGCAAGAATTTTCATATAGTTGTTACAAAAAATACAAAAGATACACGAGTTTAAAAGAGACTGAGAATCAAAGCTGAAATTGTAAAATGGAAGTTAGCAAAAAGTGGAAATAGAATGGAAGAGAGAAAATTAAAGATCTGTCAAATGCAGTGAGAGTCCTGAAAAGAGATGTGTTTTCTGTGAGGAGAGACCATGTACATCTGACTGCTTAGAGAAAGGAGCTTTCAATTCAGAGTTCAGGATACTGAAGAAAAGAGGGAAAGTCAAGTTTAACCTTAATGAAGACAAAATTCCTTCCCTCCAACTGCAGAGAGACTTTTGCAAGGTCAGGTGAAGTAAAGGGGTGACGGAGGGAGGGGTGAAGTCAGGTTTAGCACATGCCCTGTCCAGGGGCTGGAGGAACACTTCGGGGACTCTGGCCTACATATTAAAATGTACTACCTGTCTTGGTCTCACCTGAACTGGGATCTCCTGGGCCTTCTTTCTCTGTCATCCATGGTTCTTGTCCTTTCTCCAACTGGGATATCACACTAGGTTTGGAAAGTTGGTATCCTGCTTATAAAGTAAAAAAAAAAAAAAAAAGCATGAATGGTTATGCTGAGTTCTAAGAACTATCCCCAGAATTTCGTTCTAGTCCTCTGATATTCAAGGTCTCTGAAGATGGAAAGGGGCACCACAGAATGTCTTTCTATTCTAGCTCTAGCAAGTAAAGCTGTTCCCCCAAGGAATGTGACATCTCTAATACAGAACCCAAGGTCAAGCTCCAGACAACATTTAATAATTTAGAAATAAGGACTCTCCTATAATGGGCAGGTTTCCTGGATGAATGTTTGCCATCCTTACCCACTGAGACCAGGTTCCCATAGTTCTCCAGCATCACCTCCCGGTATAGATTTCGGTGAGCAGGGGCCAGTTGCCCCCACTCCTCCTGGGTGAAGTCCACAGATATGTCCTTGAAGGTCAACAGTCCCTAGAATATTGAATATATTCCTTTTCAGAGACCACCTCCATCAAGTTCCAAGGAGTTCTGACAGAATTCTAAGTTCTGAGAGATTCTAAACTAGTTTTACTGGGAACCTCCTTTGGATGTGTTTAAAAATCCTTTAGAGATTATCATAAATAAATATTTGGAAAAACAGATAGTCATATGTGCCTTAGAAAAAAATTAAGCAGGATAAGGGAGGAACATGGAGAACACAGTGAGGGGAGAGAAGGATCTTTTATGCAGGGTGGTAGGGGAAGGCCTTTCTAAAAAGGTGGTATTTGATCAGAGACATGAATTCAGTGAGGGAGAGCTATGTGGAAATCTGAGGGGAGAGCATTCCAGGCAGGTACAAAGGACCTAAAGTGAGAGCATCCTTGGCTTGTCTGAGGAACAGGAGAGTGAACAGCATCACTGGTGAAGGGTGGCGAAGGAAGGAGTAGGAGATGAGATTACAGAGGCTGGGGGCGGGGGGCGGGGGGAGGCTTTCAGCACTTATTATCAAGCAACCAATGCATTCCTGCTGAGCTTAAATTCTGGGGCCCCACTGGAGTTTAATTCAAAGATGAACAAAACTGTCTGGAACTGTGGTCTAACCCCAACCTAGCTCAAATACTTGAAGAGCTAAAAAAGATCAGTTCCTCCCCACCACCACCCCCGCCCCAGCTATGGTGGCATGAGCTTTTGTAGTTGGGTTAATCAGAAGTGAACTGAATCAAATAAAAGCTGTATCTCAGCCAGAGCTCAGCCACGGCTCTAGGGGGAATATGAATAATCAGTCCCTCACCTTAACCACCAAACAGAGGAAAGGGCTTAGTGTCCTGGAAATAAACAGAGCTAAACAAACAAACTATATTTCATCCCCCACTGTTCTTTAATACCCAGTATCTGAACTACTATATAAAACTGTTACACATGTAAAAGAGAAGGAAATCCGATCTATAAAGAAGAAAATAAAAATCAATAGAAGCAAACCCATAGGTGGCCAAGTCATTGGAATTAGCAGACAAGAAGTTTAAAGCAAGTATTAAAATATATGTTAAAAAATTTACAATAAAGTATGGATAGAGAGACACCTGGGTGGCTCAGTCAGTTAAGCATCCGACTCTTGATTTCATCTCAGGTCATGAGATTGAGCCCCATGTCAGGCTCTGTGCTGGGCGTGGAGCCTGCTTGAGAGTCTCTCTCTCCCCCTTTCCCTCTGCCCCTTCCTGCCCCCCACTCACTCTCTCACTCAAAAAAAAAAAAAAAGGACAGACTAGGTGAAAACAAGGGGTAATTGAGGAAGAGAAAGAATGCTAAAGAACTAAAAGAAAATTCTACAAATGAGAAATACAATACCTGAAAAATCCACTGAACGGACTTAGTGGCAGACTGAACCCTGACAAAGATGAGATCCGTGTAACTTAAGACAGGTCAATAGATATTATTCAAACGGAAGCACCAGGAGCAAAAAAAAAATAACCCGGGATAATACCAAGTGGTTTAATATACATGTATTTGGAATCTCAGAAGGAGATAAAAGAATGGGCAGAAAAAAATGGTAAGAAATAAAGGCTGAAAATTTTCCAAATTTGGAAAAAAAAAAAATCAAGCCACAGATCCAAGAAGCTCAGCAAATCCCAAAAAGAATAAACTCAAAGAAAATCATCCCTGGGAACACTGTAGTAAAACTGCTGAAAAGCAAAGACAAAAGGGAAGACCATGACAGTAGCCGGAAGAAGGTAGGAAAGGAGGAACAGAAACACAAGAAAAGTTGGTATAAACAAACAGAAAGATATGTCACCTAGAGGGAGAGAATAGTAACAGCTGACTTCTCATTCAAAACAGTACAAGCTAAAGCATCATGGAACACTTTTAAGTGCTTAAAAGAAAAAAGTCACCCTAGAGTTCTATACCCAGCAAAAGATTCTCAAGTAGGAAGACAACAGAAAGACATCTTAAGATCAGCAAAAGCTGTGAGAATCCATCAGAACAGCCACACTACAAGAAATGCTAAACAACATTCTTCTGGGTGAAGGGAAATGATGCTAGTTAGAAATCTGGAACTAAAAGAAGGAATGAAGAGGGCCTGTATTGGTAATTATGTAGATGGATATGAAAAGACCTCGGGTTTTTTTTCCTTTTCTTAATTTTTTTTAATAAAGATTTTATCTATTTATTTGAGAGAGACAGCACGTGTGCGTGGGCATGAGTTGGGGGAGGGGCAGAGGGAAACGGAGAAGCAGATTCCCTGCAGAGCAAGGAACCCAATGTGGGGCTCAATCCCAGGATCCTGAGTCCATGACCTGAGCTGACAGCAAATGCTTAACCAACTGAGCCACCTAGGCGCCCTTCCTTTATTTCTTAAAAACAATTTACTATTAAAAATAAAAATAAAAATAGCCTGGGTGGCTCAGTCGTTAAGCGTCTGCCTTCAGCTCAGGTCATGATCCCAGGGTCCTGGGATCGAGCCCCACATCGGGCTCCCTGTCTGGCGGGAAGCCTGCTTCTCCCTCTCCCACTCCCCCTGCTTGTGTTCCCTCTCTCGCTGTCTCTGTCAAATAAATAAATAAAATCTTTAAAAATAAATAAATAAAATAAATAAATAAATAAAAATAAGAGGGGAGTATGCTTTCAATGGGGAGCCTACTTGAGATTCTCTCTCCCTCTGCCCCTCCCCCCGCTCGCTCACACGTGCACAGTCTCTCTCTCTAAAATAAATACATCTTTTTTAAAAATAAAAAAATAAAAATAAGAACAATGTACTGTGGGGCTTATAACATGTAAAGTGAAATGTATGATAACAATATACAAAGAATGGGAAAAAATAAATGGAAATATGAGGCTTTCATACCATATGTGAAACAGTATAATATTAATTCAACTGTGATATGTTAAAAACCTGTATTGTAATGGCCAGAACAACCACTAAAAGCAAATCAAACAAGTATAGCTAAAAGGCCATCAGAGGACATAAAGTGGAATACTAAAAAACTATGCAATCCAAGAGGAAGCAGAAGAGGATCAAAGAAACAAAGATGGGTGAACAGCAAACAAAAAACAAGAATACACACTTAAATCCCACTGTATCAACGAGTATGGTAACTGTAAATGCACGAAACAAGCAAGACACGGCTATATGTAAGGTCACACTTTAAATATAAAGACACAGATAAGGTTAAAAGCAAAAGAACTGAAAAAGCTATGCCACACAAACTATAACTAAAAGGACACTGGAGGAACTATAGTAAATCAGACAGAGCGGCCTTAGGAGAAGGAATATCACTAGCCATAAAGAAGAGACATCTCATAAACTGTCAGTTCATCAAGAAGGCAACGATCCTACGCATTAATGCATCTGATAACAGAACTTAAAGCAGAGTTGACAGAACTAAAGGGAGATACAGACGAAACCACAATATAGATTGTAACACTCCTTTCTCAGTAATTGATACAAGTAGACAAAAATGTATCAAGGGTTCAGATTTGAACAACCTATCAGCCAACGGAAACTAACAGACATTTATAGAAACACTATACCTACCAACCGCAGAATATAAATTCTTTTTAAAACTTTTTATTTTGAGATAATTATAGATTCCCGTACAGTTGTAAGAAATAACACAGAGATCCCATGTACTCTCTACTGGGAACAAAGCAGTTTTGATTGGAAAGGGGCATGAGGGAACTTTCTGAGATGGTGGAAATGGTCTATATTTGGTTACAGGGTGTACATATAAGCCAAAATACAACTATACACTTTCTTAAGTGTATTTTCCTATATTTAAATTGTATCTCAATTTTTAAAAAATTTAATCTTTTCCTAGCACTAAGAATCCCATCAGTTTTTGATAAATGTCAAGAGGCGAGGAATTCCAGATAGTGGAATGTAGAGATAACTCTTTAAATAATTAGACTATTATAACTTCTTCCCTATTGCTGTAAGTAACTTTGAAATGCATTTCAATCCTAGAAGGAATCAGCATCTGAATCAGCTAAGGAAAGTGGGATTGTAAACAGCTAGAAAAAACTGCCCCATCACCAAGCAAATAAAGACAAGAGATAAACTCAAATCCTGTCCCATCTAACTTCAGAACCCCAGTTCTTTTCACTTAAAACTCTCTGTCATCGAATAACAGCTCATTTTAATAGTCTTCCTTTCTCACTCATTCTACAATTTTCCTCCTGTTTCTCCTATGCTTCTAGGCAGTAGTGAGGACAGCCCGTGAGAACTGCCCATCCTGTCTAATGTGTGTGCCGTGTGGCCAGACCATTTCTTCCCCATTCACTTCTCCTTCAGTTGCAGTTTGACCTCTGCTCCCAATACTATACTAAGGGTCACTGCAGGAAGTTCACCAGTGATATGTGTTCAGCACTTAAGAATGTCAGGACCTTCTTCTTCCTTAACAAAGCTTGTTTCTGAGTATAAAATACTAAAAAAAAAAAAAAACCTGATGTACATCTTAGACTCCAAGTGGTTATGTGTTTGTTTTTAGGGGCTAGAATTCTATCACTCATTTTGCTTTCTCTACGGAAATCAGCACAGCGTTAAATCTAGATGTTGGTCACAAACAAGAGTTAATAATAGGAGGGAAGCCACCATGAGTAGGGGAATGGCCACCACTGCAGCCCAGGTTTCTGTATAAGAGCAGCTTGCACTGAGCTCCCTATGTTGAACCTGTTAGCCCCAACACCACCCCACACTAAAAGGAAAAAAAAAAAAAGGCAAGTTAAAGCCTTAAAAAACAAACAGCATGTCAAGAAAATGAAAGGAAACCAACCCACCTGGGATTCTGCTGCTGGGGACCCAGACGTGACTTCATCCTTCAAACTTTCTTCCTGGGTCTCATCAACATCCTGAGAGAGCAGCGCTAAAGAAGGGAAAGAGTTATGAGGTTTGCATCTCCCCAAATCTCCCAAATAGAAAAATTGCCTGAAGATCTACTGAACATGGCTTTTCTCTCAAAACATTCACAGAGAGGGACACTTAGAGCAACTCAGAGCAGTCGGAGCCTCCTTAACGAGGAGGGCCTGCAGTGCATTGCTTTGGGCATTAACACTTCCCAATGGTCAACGCTGGTCCAAAAGCACAGATCTAGGCCACTCCTCTGTTCAAAGGTTTCTGACAAGAAAGAAAAATCCAAACGCTTCCCATGGACTTCAAGGTGCTCTACAACTTGCCTGAAGCATCCTTTCCCAGCATTTGTTTCTGCTATCCACCATCCTTTATCCATCCTACACATACACTGACCACATTCTTAGCCTTCAGTTAGACCAGGATATTCCCCATATTCCCCATTTCTGAACCACTCTTCAAGGCACTCTTTTCTGTACCCTTTCCCCAAATCTTCTACAAAAAACGTAGACATCTTTCAAGGCCCAATTCAATGCTATCTGCTTTGTGAAAATTTCTCCAATAAATACAATCAGAAGAATGTTTCCCGTCTCTTGTCTTCAAAAAGAAGTTTACCATAGCATTTTCTTAAGCTACCTTCTATTATTTTAATCTGCATATGTGTCTTATCTCCATCAATTAACAATAAGCATTGGAGATCATCATTCATTTTTCAATCGGTCAAGATGCTTAGCAAGGTCCCTGCCTGACACAGCTAGAATAGATATCAGCTGGACTTGAAGTGTTAAAGGTATGAACTAAGAGACCGTGTGAGACACACAAATTCCTCTGTCCATCTGTCCTGACCAGACCACCAGATAATGTGTAATCTTGGACATGTTTCCCACTGACCACCTGTAAATTGAGAGTCATCAAGCATGTCATTCCTTCCTCTCCGAAAGAATGGTTCCTTTTGAAAAACACTGGCTTTCGGCCAAAATGACCAAAACTTATGAAGGAAGACCTTGGGAGGGCTTTAGGGAGTGGAAAACCTTGACCTCACTGTCTGCGAATCCCATATACTTGGGAGCCACTGGTGGGGAACACTGTTGTGTGCTGTACCTGAGGACTGGAGACGGGAACGCATGGGCACATGGCACAAGGAGCCCATGCTCAGAGCCTAACACTTCCTCTCATCACTAACCCGTTCCCAAAAGCCATAAGCCCGAACCCCAAAGACCTGCTTTCCCCCAATTTTCTCCCCAAGAGACCACCTCAGTGAAGTGTGTACCTATCTTTTCACACACAATTGAGAATTCTTCTTTCCCCATTCCCCTCCATCAGCCTATTCTCACCTTCTCCTTCAAACATCTTAGTCACGTCCTCCCACAAGGGCGCCCCCTCCTTGGCCTTCTTTGGATGGCGCAACTTCACCCAGGTGCTGGCCTCCGTGGGCAGGGTGATCAGGAGCTGCTGCAGCATGACGATGCCCACCCAACTGGGCTTGTCCACTTCTGGTGAGGTAAACTGCCAGAACCTCTACTGAGAGCCTTCACAGGTGTGTCGTCTCCTCTGAGCACAATCTCCTGCCCTCAGGACTTTGGTGTGTCCCTGTCGTACCAGAAGCTGGGGGCTCCTAGAGGCTGATATGACTTTAACTCTGAAAAACTGACTTCTCTCTTAAATTAAGTACTGCCCCTTTGGGAGGCAGCCAGTTGAGTAGGTTTGAGTGCATGCCTCTATATTCTTCTAGAGGAGCAAAAGGCAGAAGAGGGATCCAGAAGCATTCACCACACAGCCAGAACTCCAGAACTTGCAGAAATATATTTTAAACTGCTAAAGATCCAAAAACAAAGATTTGGCATCAATGTGGGAATAAGTATAATCAATGTTCTTGGATGTGGTTGTCTCCCAGTTCCATACGCACAAACACAAACAGCCAAAGATATACAAACAAGCATGGGCGCTGCCTTGACGTCCCCCCTTGTAAGCTGCAAGCATCTTTTGCCTGGACACAGGCTTTGGAGTTAAGAGGGCAAGTTCTGAAATCAGACAACTTGGGTTGGAATCCTGACACTTGTACTTGAAAGCTCTAAGGCACTTCAACTCTCTGAGCTTCAGTTTCTTCATCTATAAAATGGGGATAAAATTATACTTTATAGGGCTGTAATATTAATTGAAACAATGTCAGGCATACAGAAAACCCTTAATAAATATTACTATAAAGTTTTGTTATAATGCTGCATCACAGCATTATCTTTTAAGCTACTTTTTAAAAATAAGTAGAGATCTAAATTTAAAGTTCAAGTATCATAAGTGATGGAATAATCACACAGCTGCATTTTCACATGACCAAACAGCGCCAGACACATCCCCACCCACGCACATGCCCAGCAGCCGGCAAGTCCTTTTAACCTGTTAAGATGCCTCCTGGTTTCAGAAATGTTAAAATTGGGGGAGGGGTATGTGTTCAGACGGAGGAAATAACAGTACTCTTGAGTATCATGAGGACTACTGCAGAACTGTTTGTAGCAGGAAAATCTGTAAACAACTCAAATCTATCATCTTAACTAACCGCCCCCCACCCCCGACATCTGAGCAGGTGCCTCCGCAGCGACCAGGTCCAGCACATCTGGGGCCCCACGCACAGTCCGAGTTCCGTGCAAAGGGAGCTGGCTCAACTTTCTGAAGTTTGTGAGGAAGGGTACGTAGCTTACGGGCTCCGCCTCCCCCCACCCCCCCGCCCAACCCGGCCCCAAGCTGCGCCCGATGCACAAAAAGGAGCTGCATCCTGCGGGCTGGAGCATGTGGAAATAACCTGCCCCGAATACATCAAAGTAAACGTCTAGTTACCAAAGTGGGGAAACTTCCGAGCATCATTTGGAAGCTGGCCCTCCCCACTGCTCCCGGCCGTGCCTCCCCGGGACAGAGGCTGCAGACCCGCGAAGCCTCACCAGCTCGGCCCTGGACGCTGCTGGGATCAGGGACGCGGCCGCAAGAGCGCTCGCTCCCGAGGCTTTCGGCGCCACAGGGTGTCTCTTCAGAGGACCGGGAGGTAGCAGATTTTGTTCTTCCCCAGCTTTCGTAGACCACATGCCCCCGCTCACCGACGATTCTCCAAAACACGCCCCACGTTCCCGCAGGCTTCCTTCAGGAGCCCCGCGGGACCTCGGCCTCCGCCTCGGACGCGGGGTTTCTCTCGGCTCCCCGCGGAGCCGGCCTAAGGCCCGCCGCCGCACCGCATCACGCCGCCGCCCTCCCTGGCGGCCTTCCGCGGCCGCGCGCCGG